GAGTGCGACCAGGTGTGACCTTTAAGACTAGGAGTGAGTTGAGGGGGCCAGAAATGCCAATATTTACTAAGCGTTCTCCGAGAGAGCACGTGGAAATCTACACGACACCCCGAATTACGCAACTAGGAGTGCGACCAGGTGTGACCTTTAAGACTAGGAGTGAGTTGAGGGGGCCAGAAATGCCAATATTTACTATCTTTTTATTTTACACAACAACTAGGACACGCAGGCGAATTCGGTTTTTGAGCCTACAGCTTCGAATAGAAGCGGTCCTAAAGTTCTATAAAGCTTGTCAGGTTTCCTATGCCTCACGCTCAAAAGTAGTGGCAGAAATTGACCGACTACTTAAAGCAGGAATTGGTACCTCTGTTTCACAGTCTGAGTGGTGCCGGTGGTAAAGCGGAACGGCAGCGCCCGTAGTGCCGGTGGTAAAGCGGAACGGCAGCGTCAAACTTTGCAGAGATTTTAAAGCCACTGTTAACTAGGCATGCCGCACGAAGAAGTATTCGCTTCCATGCTAGGAAGATTTTCTGCCAGCGTTAAATGGGGGTGAAAATTTTCCAGAATGATCAGCTACCAAATCATTTACTGTAAACTACTTAACTTTCGCGAAGACCCAATTTTCGCGAATTTTGCGAATTGCCTACAATTCGCGAAAAATAGGTCCCGTGAAAAATTCTGCTAAAATGTCAACACATTGGAATCTATACCGAGATCCCACAAAGTCGCGAAAATTAGAACCCACAAATTATTCCAAAACTTCAGCCTTCACCTAAATCGCAAAATATTGAGCCCGCAAAAAATAAGCCGTTTACAGTATTTATTTTACTGTCGAGAACTACAATCCTATCAGTTCAGTGGAGCACCCTCAACTGCAGCAGGATTCAGATTACAAACTCCGATGACTGCTCCGACACCAGTGAAATTAACCACTGAGCTTCACAGCCTCCAGGAACGCCGGCAGGAACTTGCATACAGTGTAGACCGCATATAACGTATGTCGCGGGAGTCGTGAAAATTCGCACTATAAGCGGTACCGCGCTATAAGCAAAACATCAATTTTTCAGGCCAAAATACATGCCATGAGACAACTTATCTTTGTAAAAGAATTTATTTTATGTTAGATGAAAAAGAAAGCTTAGTTTGAGGAAAGTCTTTATTTCACCAGACTAGTACAGTTCTGTCTCAAGTGTGTCACACATTTTGAAAGAAGTGAGCGGCTTTTGCCTGGCGCAGCCTTTTAACGGCGTCGCGGGTTGCGGACGGACGTTACGAGCGTTCAGTATTGGTAACCCTAATCACTTTTCTCCGGAGATGAAAACGCGTGAAAATTCGCATCCTTCATACGGTACGTGCCAGTAATACCTTGAACTTGAGCACACGCATGAAATGCGCCAAATAATAAATCCGGGCGATGTTTGAGGACACAAATGCATCACCACTGTAGTCGAAGTAAACAAACACGACGACACGGGCGTTTCTGCCGTCTTGATAGCGCCGCCACGACATCGACGCACGAGTAGGTGGATCTTCCCTTCTAGTATGTGCTCAACGAAAATTCACAGTTAAAGGCCGACTTACGAAACCATTTTCCGCAGGGTAGGAAAGTGCTCCCCAACGACCTTCGCTCCCTCCCCTCTCGCACTCCTTCCTCCTCCTCCGCTGAAAAGGGCAGGTTCGGAAGCTACTCTCCGTGGAAAGGAGAAGGGGTTTCCTCCTTTCTGGGTGGCAAGGGGAAAACCTCTTCTCCCGCGGAAAATGGTTTTGTAGGTCGGCCTTTAAGGATAGCGCTTTTACGCGGAACGATGAGATGAACGCTGTCTACGACGACGACCGCAACCGACGCCATGTTTGCGGATAGAAACAGCCGGCCCGCGACCGGCATGCAACGCGCGCGAACACTTCTCCTCGACCTGCGATTGGTCTGTCGTTGCGGTTTGTTTCCAACGCAGCGGAGGGACGCACGCACGTGAACGACACGTGCGTGCGTCCCTCCGTCGCTATAGCAACTGAAGCCTCTCCCTTCGCTTCTCCCCGCTCCTTCGAGCAACCTCCTTGCCCCGCGAGTGCCGCTTGGGCCGTCAGCACCGTTATCTAGTGTCGCACAGGGAAGCGTGCTCGCTGCTCCGGTCGTCAGCGCGATCGGCGGGCTGTGCCAGAAACCGCACTATAACCGGTATTTCCCTTCACGCGCCTGCATTTTAAGCGGTATGTAATTACATGGAGTTCTATGGGAGGCGAACCGGTGGTTTAAAAAAAACGCGTTATACCCGGTCCTGCACTATAAGCGGTTACGTTGTAAGTGGTCTATACTGTATCAGGTTTGTGCATTTATTTTTTCAATTTTAGCTTGACAATGCTATGTTCACGTGCAAACTGCACATGCTTGCACGCATAGGGCGCTAGTGATGTGCCATGCTTCCAACTGTCTATACGACTCACTGGCCCGTGTGGTGGCATCAGCGCTGATGCCAGTGAAACACCCAGCCATGCATGATGGTTCAACCAACGCCTTCCGTGAGCTCCATGCCTGTCGGAAGTGCTCCCCGAGGCCGTCAGGTTGACTAACTCTTCCTCCTCTCATACTGCTCGTGTGCGCCACGATACGGCGCTGTCTATGTTGGGAGGCTGTAGAAAGCCGATTGGAGAGGGGGCCCCCACCTCAAACCATGGGGAGCGTTTGCAATTTAATGGCAGACGCCTACTGCAGCTGAGATTGGTCGCAAGTGTGCATGCGACATGTTTTCGCTGACTTATCTCCACTGGACTCCTTGGGACCATGTCAGGGACAAAATGTACGCCTTCGAGCCAAACAGCGTCGATGACTTGAAGGAGGTGATTGCGACTGCTTGTGCGAGCCTAGTCTTGTGGTATGCGTCTTCGAAAATAAAAGGTGGAGCTTTTTATGGCATTTCTAATGCATCTGCACCATTAAAGGGACCATGAAACAATTTTGAAATCGAACCTCATCCACCGCACGTCGTAAAAGGTGCGAAAAGAAACCCAAAAACCCAGAAATAGAAAGCCCAAAAATTTCTTTGCAATAGAACTTTAAAAAAAAAAAGGACCCTTTTACACCTTCTTTCCTTCGAAAGCTATCTGCCTTTTCACTGCAATGCATCCGCGAAACCGCAGCAAGTCGGCCAAATCCACGTCGCCTATTAGGTAAGTGCCTACCACACCAGCACCGTGATCATAAATAATAAATAGCTGGCGAATCTTTCCTAAAAGTTTTGTTAAGTAGTGTTCAGATCTACATTTTGTAGCATAATTAGAGATGTGACAAAAATTGCCGAATTTGATAATGCTCAGAGCCAAGCGCCATCTATTGTGTGGTAAACAAAGCAAGAGAAAGACTCGACTGCGCCTGCACAGTCAACCCACGAGCGTCGTCTGCTGAACGGGTTTGCTCCTGGTCGCACTTTGTTCGCAGAGCACTTTCGTTTTCTGGCTGTTCAAGTAGTGTTTACATTGTTTGTAATCGATTGCTCAGTCGCTATGCCGTAAGGCTGCAGTGTATCGAAGAACTTGAATTACAGTTTCTGCAGTCCGGTGGTTAAAAAGAAACAGCTGTAGTTTCACCGCTTGCCACTTGATGAACCACGTCGAAGCACTTGGTGCAGGCTTATCGGTTTGAGGGACCGGGGGTCTAAGGTCATTCATGTATGCTCGGAACATTTTGACACCTAGTGTGATTACAGCCACATTCACAGTGTTTTCTGCAAATGCGGGCAGGTTCCAAAAGCCCTCCACCAATTCCGATAAAGAACTAAAGTCTTTGTTGGAAAACTCGCCGCACTTCCCAACAGACGTACCGGCACATGGCACTAGTCCCATGCTGTCGTTGTAGTGCAACATTTTTAATTGAATTTCCCTCAGCTGTGATGTGTCCATGGCTATCATGGCAATGAGAGGCGCCGATTCAGAATATCGGTGGCATCAGCGCCATCAGCGCAGTAAAACCTACCGGCACATCGCCAACTCGCCGCCGCTAACGCTCCCATTCTCCTATTGCCGAGAGAACTTCCGGTTCCAATGGCGGCAGACGTCACGACCGTCAAAATTACGCCGCAGCTTGTTTTATGGTGAGGTGGAGAGGAAGAAAAAGTAGATATTTCATTGATTTTTTGTGAGAAGTTAATAAACCGAAACAAAAATGGATGCCTGTTCGGCATTCAGTGAACAATGAAGGTTTAATGTAAAAGTTATTTGGCAAAAGTAAAAAGGTTATTTCATGGTCCCTTTAAAAATAGTTGGAAAGATGTGATAAAACCTATTGGATAGTTTGAGATATATTGACCTACAAAAAACTGCATTTATTTTACAGCCTATTTCAACCTTTTCTGGACAAAATTGTGGTTATATTTTAATATTTTACCCCTTAGGGCCTGTTTTCCACAAAATTAAAGGTGTCATCCAAAAATTTTTTAAAAGAAGTTAATGCGAAAATGTTTTAGACAAGGTACTTTTATTTCACCAATAACACATACAATTTTTTAGACCCAATCCATGAGGGTCGAATTTACGTCTAGATCGTTTGGCATGGTAAATTTAGGCCAGGATTGTTTGACCTTATACAAGATATGATAATGAAATAAAGTTCAGAAATATAAAAAGCTTTAGCAATGCTGTTCTCTGTTTGCAAAGCAAGTTTTCAATTTAGCCATCTCCAACGTAAAAAAAACAACAAAAATGCATAGCCCAGTATTTCCTGCATCCCTAAGCAAATACCTGCAGACCCCAAAGATCCTGGGTTCAATCCCCACACCTGCCAGTTTCTATCTGGACGAGCTTCCTACTGGCACGCGGTTGTGTATCACTACTGCGTGATGCACTTTAAAGGCCCCAGGCTGGCCCTTTGTACCGCACTGGATAAATCTCTCACCAAGAGCTGAGACGCAAATCGTCCATTGAGGCCGACTAACTTCCAGCTCTCAAAACATACACGCAACGCAGCTATATTACTTCGTAAGGTTCAAAACATTCACCCCAAAACTCACCTTCGCCGCCCGAGACTAGCTTCCTCCGGGACTGGGCACCCAACCCCGACAGCTCCGAGAATCGGGAATCGCTGGAGGTCGATGCGTCTTCCCGAGGTGCAGCCGTTCCCTCCGGATGATCTGGCAAACGGCCTTCAACAGGAGGCACAATGGGTCCAGAAGAAGTTGCCGAAGGCCTGCCCCTTGGCCGCTTTGCCGGGAGGACGGCGGCCGCCATCTTCTGCTTGGACAACCCCTCGTTTGCCATGTCCAGCCCCTGCGAGCGCGAGACGTCCCTCGCGTCTCTGGAGAGGAGAGGCGGGAGATTCCGCTGGCTCTTTAAATCACGGCGCAGCTGCGCGACAAGCTGCTGAAACAAGGCCACCTCCTCGCTGCGATGGCCCGGGCTCGCCTCTGCTGAAGCAATCCGTGTCCGCTTCTCCTTCCTGTTCCTTCTTGAACCGACATCGAGACATCTTGGAGAGGAAGGTGCTACTCCTGGCAAAGGCCTCAATGCAGATGCCTCGAGGGTTTTCGCGGGCTTCTGTTTCGCATCATACCCGTTACGCACGCCAACCGAGTTGCCCGGCGCATTTGATGATGCTCGAGGCGACGACGACGCTAAATCTTCAACCGGCCGACCGTCCTTCCTCTCGGTTTGTGCAAAAAAAGTGGTGCTTGTTTTCCTTTTAAACGGTCGAGGAGAAAGCGGGGATGCAGCTTCGACCCCTTGCACCCTTGTTGTGAAGAATTTAGGATCGTACTCTGGCCTTCGTGCTGGCAGTTTTTCTCGGGTCGAGGTTTTCCACTGTGTCCAACTGTCGTCCTTTGCGGCCTCTGCCTTACGACTCTCGCGCAACATGCGTTGCGTGTTCTTGGCAGACGACGTGGCAGCATTGGGCACGGATGGATTCCCCTCCCGACGATTCACAACTGAAGTGGACGCCGCACAAGTGACACCGCCGACTTCGTTTGTCCCCGAAGTTGCGGCGGTCGCCGACGGCACTGAGCCACGCAGAAAAAAGCTTCCCGTCGACGGCCGTAGAGCCGGGGCTCCTCTCTTGGATGCGGCTTCGGTCCGGTTCACGCGGGGCCTCTTGATGCTTGGACGTGCCCCGGCGACGTCGGTGCTGCCACGAAGCAAACTCTCGGCAGGGCGTGTAGCAGCGTGCGGCCGTTGGATCGTTTGAGGAATGAAACCGAAGGACTTGCCGCTCAGTCTTTCGGATCGATTCGGAGGAGTGTCGGAGCCCAGACTGGTGTCAGCGCTGACTTCCCGATCCGCCAGGAACGTTCCGTGGGGCACGTCTTCTGACGGAGAGTCGGAAAAAATCTGCTCCACGTTGCGCCTCAACCACAAGGGCATTTTCGAAGGCTTGCGTGGCACCAAACTCCCTCCCTGTCCCCACATGGTTCGGGATGCCTCCGTCGCCGCCCAGTCCCTCTCGGTCGAAGAGGAGAGAATCGTCTTGACGGGGATCCGGCTGAAATTAGGAATACGCGGGGACACGTTGTAAATTCACGATCTCGAGCACTTTCTACAGTCGCCGATAGGATAAAAACGGCAGGGAGGTCTCTCAGTACTCCAGCATGAACACCTTCGATAACGCTTGGGGGGCACTGCGAGCGTGCACGCGTGGCCAAAGCACGACTAAACGCAACAGCGCGTGCTGGAGGCATCAAGAAGAGACGCCGTTCTCGTCCTGTCAGGAACTGTAGGCAGGAAATGTCACTACAAAGAAATTACATTTTGATGTCTACCAGATCGTAGACATCAAATCCCGTAAGAACAGCCACCCAAAATGAAGAGATAAATGGTGGAAAACAAGGGGTGGGCTATTTTTGGGGATGAGACAGCAAAACTTTATCAAAAATGAACGATAAACACAGCTACAAACCACGCGACACGGCGAATTTGCGTTTCACAATGCGACAAACAAGTGGGAAGTCGCTACTGACTTCCGCGATGTAGGTAAAGGTACCGCGGACGGCAGACGCGGCAGATTTGCATTTCACGGTGCGATAAACACGCGGCAACCTGCTACAAACTCGCCTGTCACAAATGCCGGTACCGCAGATTGCACGGTTGACATGATTTCCGTCGGCGTGATGTCCGACAGGAATAGAGGTGTCGGCAATGTTTCAGAATTCTAGTGTTACGGATATTAAGCCAGAAAGACGAGCTGCACGGAAACGCAGCTAGTCTATAGTCGGGAACGACTTTCCGTGACAAAGGAGCCAACGCTATGGAGCCAAGATGCGTCGTACCACTACGCAATACAATGCAATTCGCAAAAATTATATAATTTTTTTTTTGTCCTGAAATATTCTGATTTACAGGTTCTAAACACCGGTGTGCAAATACTGAATTAATTCTAGAATAGTATGTTTAATCTAATATAAAAGCCAAAAATATTGATTGAAACGTCGAATAATTAGTTTATATGTAACATAAGGTCAAATTTAAATCTGGTCAATACAAATTTTCGTGCAAGGAAAGCGGTTGTATCAGAGTGTAGTAGTGTTACTCAATGTGAAGAAGAGCTTCTTGCTCAATGCCCGTGTTGCCAGGATGGCCATGTACTGTCGAACTGTTGCATTGCTGCCCGAGCATGTGAAAGCGCTTGTCAACCAGCGATTTTGGAGCCTTGGAGCAACGCTCTTTGTTGACAACTTTTTTTTTTTTTTTTTTTTTGCAAAGTACATGGTTTAGTTTTTGTTTATATTCGGTACTGTGGTTTCATACAAGTCCAGGTGCTCCAAGCTGCCAGATATAAAGGGTGCAGCCCTAAAACCTAAAACATTTCGCATGCCTTACAAAATTTGAATTTAAAACGTGCATACCCGAAAGTGGGCATGCAATCGTCATTCTGCAAAACCTTCTGCCTATTTGTTTTATACAGCGGAGCTGTTAAGGGCTAGTCTCCCCAGGATCGTGTCTGTCAGCAAACAAATGATTATACAGAACTCTGGACAGCTACCGCCATCTATGAGCAATGGCAGCAACTACAGGGTGATACAAGGAGAGGCTACGCTCTTTAAATCGACCGCAAGATTCTGTTCCTTAACCTATCGCGCTACGACTTTGTGCAGCGTTGCCCACAGATGGTGCATTCGTTTTGTAAAATTTGCAAAGAGCGAACTTGCCTGAGAAAAAAGTAAGGAAAGAAAAGGCTTAGCTCCTATGGAAATGCAACGACGCCACCGGTCTTCAAACAACACGGCGCCGTTTCGCATGGGAGACAACAGATGGCGCAATGAACGCCACCAACGAACAAGCATACGGCGCCGAGAGCCGGAGTCTTTAGCAGACAATCTTTTCGACTCAAAAGCAGAGCGCGTTCCGCAGGCGGCGAAAGTCGCAGAAACAAAAACAGGCGCGGTAACAAGGAACTACAGTTCCTTGTCTGCTAAAGACGCCGGCTCTTGGCGTCGTATGCTCGTTCGTTGGCGGCAGTTGGCGCCGTGTTGTTTAAAGACCGGTGGCTTCGCTGCGTTTCCATAGGAGCTAAGCCTTTTTCTTTCTTTACTTTTTCCTCAGGCAAGTTCGCTCTTTACAAATTTTACAAAAAAAAAAATGCACCATCTGTGGGCAACGCTGTACAAAGTCGTAGCGCGATAGGCTAAGAAACTGAATTTTGCGGTTGATTTAAAGAGCCTGGCCTCTCCTTGAATCAGCCTGTAGACAACCGGCTTGCCGGTTGTCTGGTTGCCGCTGTCGCTCATAGATGGCTACAACCTTTCCAGCCTTTCCACACTCTGGCTTGCCGACTTGTGGCTGGCCATTACTTCATTCCCACCATAGTACAGCTTCGCTAGTCTTCCTTCTTCACCAGAGTGGAAAGGCTGGAAGTTTTTTAGAGTTACACTTTAGGGTGATGAAATCTTCCTATTAGAGAAAGAATTAAGTGCAGTCAAAACCAACATATATTTCGGATTGTGTACCGAACATGTAAACAAATAACAAAAAATAGTAAAAGAAAAAAAGACGTAGAAGGAAATGCACAAATGCGGAGCAGAATTTTACGTTTTGGTTTGTATGGCCATTCGGTCTGGTGGTAAAGTGCGGTCTGGACTACGCTTTACAGCTTATGCTGAATTTGTTTTTTTGCGTGCCACTGACTTTCTTCTAATGTGGGACTACCGTATTACTCCGATTACTTGCAATTTTTTGCCGCCCACTATTTCGAATGGGTCGCGTAAAGGCTTTGGCATTACCACGGGCCGAGTTCCCTGGAAGAAACTTTCGTGTAGACCAACGATCACAGACTGCACGAGCAATTCACTGAGCCTTCATCGAAGAAACAGCCACTGACCCCTTGCCCTCTGCTCTTCACCTCGGTGGAGAAATCTCATCGGGGAATGACGCCGTGCAACGTGGACGAGCAACAGAGCTCCATTTTACGTTACGATGGATTCCAGAAGATGCTACGAGCCATCAGAGCCAATTTAATGGCATGAATGTGTGGCGCGACCTCCTGCAGAGGCAAGGCGCGTGGTCGCACAACGTGTTCAGAGCGCTAAATTGGCTGGGATGGCTCGTCGTATTTTCTGCGACCCAACGTGAGGTGAAACGGAGCACAGAGCAGTGAGAGCAAGTCAAGACAAGGGTAGTTCATTCCAGCAACAAAATCCAGAAAGCCAGGCCTCAGTCTTCCGGAGCATGAACGCAATGCACCTAATGGCCGGTTGAGCGTGCTGGGAACAAAGTGCATTAAAGTAGTACTTGCCCAGGCTTGGGAACGTCGCAAAAACCCCGAACACCTGAAAAAGAGAAAAAAAAGAAAAGAAGTACAATTAGGCCTTGGCAACGACTGAAATTGGGCAAGCTGTGATCACTGCGGTGAAGCAACTGCGCGAACCATGTTCATAAACAGTGCACGAATCATTAGGAAAGTGGCAGTGAGCCAAAGACTGGCCTTCATTACGAGAGCGAGTACCGTACTTTCGACTTACCAGTCGTTTCAGTGGGCGAAACATGGGCAAGGGAGCTGAGATATCGTTGACTGCAAAGAGAAAAAAGAAAAAAAAAGGAAGAAAAGAACGTCACGCACAGATCGCTTCGGATCAAGGTGTCCAGCTGAGCAGCATTTTCAAATTCCCTCAACTTCTCCAATTTCAATATGACTGCATTCCCAAATATTTTCAACCAATTAGATAAAACAAAGACAGTACCGTAATATCCCGGGAGATACCCCACCACCGAAAGATAGCCCACCCCCTGTTTGTGGCTCGACTTGCTATTTTATTTTAAATGCTGAGGGATAGCCCACTCCCAGTAATCGTACTGTCTGGATCAATGATGACCTCGGAGTAAATACGGCTAGTTAGCTACGGCAGCATATAAGCAAACATTGCTGACTGGGAAGTACAATCATCTTCGCCTCATTGTCTCTCGCCACAATAACAAGTTTGGCAGAGATACATGACCTAAAAATAACTTTTTTTTTTCATCTTTTCTTTTATGTACACCAGAAGTTAGTAGAGAGATTTAGTGGAGAAATTTTCACACAGAATTTAGTGAGAAGACTTAAAGGGCACCCTGAAAAGAAAATGCTTTTTTGAACAACCCAGTTGGACACGCGTATCAAAAAATTAATTTTCTGCAAAAAAAATCTTTTTAGAGCAATATTGACGGCGCGAGACTCAATTTAGTTGGTAGTTACATCCTTTCCACTTACTTTCTCTCTCGGCATTTCGGGCGCGTGGAGGAGAGGCGGATCGGCTTCGCCTTCACGTTGAGGTGGAAAGTGCGAAGTACCATCTCGTAGAGCGAATGACCATTCCGCGACGTCATGGACTTTGCGCACGGAATTTCGAATTAACCTCTCGCCGTCAATAGTGCTCTAAAAAACTTTTTTTGTGCATAAAATTTATTTTTTGACACGCGTGCCCCAACTAGATTGTTTAAAGAAAACAGTTTTTTTTCTTTTCAGGGGCCCTTTAATAGGGAAACATTGCGCGATGTCGCGGCATCGTGTGACACTGGTTCCCCATCTAACTTGGTGGATTCCTTCCTACATACGGACACATGGAAGCACATTTAAGTTGCTCAATGGTTGCACAAATTTGAAAAGCGCGCAACACCGATATGTATTCTAATTTGACGCAAAGTTCCCAGGTTTCTCGGGCGTCCACTACTCACACGCGGGTCTTGACAGGAGAGGGAACGGAGGGAATGCAGCGGACGTTCTCCATGCGCAGCCCAGAGGCATCTGGAAAATGTGCAAAGAAATGTGCCATTCATGGCAACCGCATAGAGTCAATTTTGCTATATTTCTCGCTTTATAACTTCAAATCCACACAAATATTGCATTATGCTTTTGCGGATTCTGTTAGTACATATTATAAATGTTAATTTAGGAGAGTTTAAAGAATATAAGAGATGCCCTTTTCTTTTAAAATGATTTTCAAAATAAAGCATATTTAGTTAAATGCCCTCGTGTGAGCAATTCTTGTAAATTTCTCCCGCTAACCAGGACAACAATATTTCACGCACAGGTGAACTATATACCAGGCAACATACTGGCAAAGTTCGAAGACCTTAGCTTTTATAGATACGGAAAAAAAATATTCTTTAGTCCAGAACGTTATTGTGCAATGTGATGTATTTGGGGTTTTGTTACTCGAAATAATGACCCTAATAGTCAGTGACTAATAGTTTTTTGTCAATCCTTCCTATGCCTAATCTGTCACTAACTGTTTCTAGACCCGTGGCCAAACATTTTTTTTTTTTTTTTAGAAGCTGCCCAAAAGGCCAACACTGCGCGATAGGCAAAACATGCGCGCGACTGAGAAGGTGGTGCTTACAAATATTTTTCGCAAAGACACTTCTTTCTTTTTTTTTTTAATTCAAGGATTGGGTTTTTTCTTCTGGGTATAGAGCCAGCAAAATATATTTTTTTCATCAAGATTAAAAATGGTCACCGGACATGGTTGTCTGATCTCACCTGAAAACACCAAGCTGTAGTTTAGATGGCGCTGGCACATCGGAAATAATTGAAACCGGAAAAAATACTTTCGTTGCAGGAGTGAAACTTTCGGACAGCATCCATCAGGATATTTGAATGCTGATAAAACTACTTCCCCCTTAAAGGCTGACGTACAGCCTCGGCTTTCTGCAGGGAAGATAATCCTCTTAGCGCTCCCCCCTCTCTTAAACTGTGAGGGGAGCCAAGTTGGGGCAAGGTAAGTGGAGAGGGAATAGAAAAGGAGGAGGCGGACAAAAGTGGAAAGCGCAAAGCGTACGTCGGCCTTTAAGAATGCAATTAAATTGATATTTCTACATATTGATATTAAAGTTAGTGGTGCAGTGTGAAAAAAAAAAAAAAAAAACTCACAGGCAAAGAAGTGATTAAGACCAACAGATGGTGTGTTGCTTTAGACTAATACATAAGTACTGCTCTAACAAAGACCCTGTAGGGTGTTTTTAGATAAGATCAAATAACCACGTCCAAAAAATATTTTTAATTACGACAAAAAAAAAAAAATTTTGTCTGTGCACCCGGGATATGTGTCCAAACTTCTTTCATGAAAAATAAAATTGATTTTCTGGGACAAAACTTGCGAAGTTGCGTTCGTTCAAGTGCGCATTTCGCAACTTGCGGGAAGTCGTTATTTTGGCTAGTTTATGAAACACAAACTGTGGTCGCTGTGGGCTTAATATATTTTGTGCGAAGACTAAATATACATTAAAATTAGCTAAAAATTTCTTATTTCTTGTTGTTTAGGAAGCATTTTCAGTTTGTAGCAAAAAATTAAAAACAAACACATAATGCAAAATTGTCCAAATTCAGAGCTTTGTAAATCTGCACTAAAAAAATTCAGAAACTGAAATTTTTTTATTATGATTGGGACACGTGTGCTCAACATTTGTATAAAATTTTCATTCAAATTTAAAATGTGCATAGTTTCCAAAAAGTCACACAAACGGAGGCCAACTACTCATTTTGCAATATTTTGAAAATCATTTTTAAAATATTAACTTAAGTTTTGTCCCAATTCTTACAAATTTAAATTCGTAATGTGCCCTCCAGGGCCTTTAAGGACATGTTGCAGTACTTTTGCATTTTGCAATTTCCAACACGCCCAACAGGACTGAATTAGCAGAGTCGCCATTATTGGAGTACAGAAAGATAAAACGTTGCCGATTTCAAGGAAGGGCAAGGAAGAGTGTGTGCAGGCAGTGCTGTGGCTGAACTTTGTTAAAATCTTCTGTTTAGAGGAAAGTTTTCAGTTGAACGCAAAATATAAGTGCTTCCCTCATAAACAATAAAGTTGCTGTACCGATTTCTCGATTCTCCCAACCTCTTGCTTGTTTGCTACAGCCGGTGTGGGAACAAACTTGAAAGGCTCAGCTTACAGGCAGGGAGTTTGGCGGCGGTAAATTGACACATGAGGCAAGGAACGGAATTGCCGGTGGGTACCACGATCGCAGTGCCCCTTTGGGCAACCATAAAGTAGAAGGTGCCAAGGAACTGGAGGTTTAAAACTGAAATGCAGCCGAGGCTTTTAATTTCACAAGGGTGTCCAAGCTGTGAGCGGTTCCTTCGCAAGTTCTGCCTGCAACAGCTCACGTATGTCTAAGGTTCCTCGGTAACAGTTCAAAACACTAGTTTTACACCAATTGCTCGGAGAGGCGTGTGGTAACCCGCCAAGAAGACACCCCACGCAAGTCAGATTCCTGGCCCGAGGAGTCTCGGTCACGCACTGGGGGCACCCGACACCATCCGAGACACCCGGCTGCGTGGCATAAACACCGCAGCTCTCCCCACCCCGCCGAAGAGCGAGAGAGGGGGCCTGCGACCGACGGCCGGAGCAGACGCAAAATTCGTCCGCAGTCAAATTGGTCAATAATCAATCGGTTCAATAAATCATATGTTTAGAAAGACTTCAGTTCCTACAAGAAAAACGTTTCACCGAAGGTACTTTCGAAGCGTGGTGTATCGGGTAGTGTTTTGTTGAACGCGCGTCACCCTGAAGGAAGTCTCCTCTTCCGAGAAATGGACTTTGTAACGTGAACTGCTTCAAATGTTCCAGAAAGCTGACTGCAGAATTGTTGGACACATCGGGACCTGACAAAACCACTCAAGTCAGGAGTCCTACTTGCGTGCGGCATTGTAGCAGGCCACCGCAAGCCTCTCCGAGTAACCAGCGCAAAACATGGGCTTCGTACTATAATGTTCAGCCATAGAAACTGCCGAGGACCCGTAGACGCTCGTGAGCCGTCGCGGGTGGAACTCGCGAAGAAACCGCTCGCAGCTAGGACACCCCTGTGAAATTAAAAGCCCCAGCTGTGTTTCAGTTTTAGACCTCCCAGTTACTTTGAGCCTTCCATTTCATGATCACCCACGGGGACAATCCTATTGTGGTGCCCTCTGCACCAACAATCCTCACCTCGCGTGTCAATTTACTGCCTGAAAACTCCCGGCTCAATAAAGAGACGAGTGTATGAGCAGCCTCTCAAGTCTGTTTTCACACCGGCTTTTGTGAACAAGAGAGGTTGGCAGAATCGAGAAATCGGCACAGTATTCTTATTCTTCATGAGGGAAGCACTTGTACTTTGTATTGAACTATTATCTTTTCTATAACAGTTGATTTTGACAAAATCATGCACAGCACAGACTGCTCATGTACTTATACTTTGCGGCGACTTTCTTGCCCTTTCTTGACATTGGCAACGTCTTGCCTTTCTGTACTCCAACAACGACAGGTCTGCTAATTGGGTCGCATTAGATGTGCCGTAAATTGCGAATTACAAGAACGTTGTAATATGTCGTTAAAGGGCCTGAGAGGGCACGACGTGGATTTCAATTTTTAAAAGTTAGAACAAGATTGATGATGTCATATTTTGCAAAATGATTTTCAAAATACTGCCAAAGGCCCAAGTTTGAGTTGCTTTTTGAAAACGATGTGCATTTTCAATATGAATGAAAACTTGTGCAAATATTTAATACACGTGTCCCAATCATAACAGAAGATTTCAATGCTTCCCGAATTTTTTTTAATGTGGAGTTACAAAGCTCCGTTTTCGGCCAATTTTTGCATTATGTGTCATGTTTATAACGTTTTATTAACAAATAAAAATGTTCTCTAAACACAAGACATTCTTAACTAATTTTACTGCATGTCCAGTCTCTGCACAAAATATATTACGTCCACGGCGACAACTGCGTGTTTCACAACTATTCAAAATGCTGACTATGAGCAAGTCGCAAAACGCGCAGCTGACCAACAGCAACTTTATCATTCTTGCTCCAAAAGGTAAATTTTATTTTTTTTTACAAAAAAAAATAAATGATTGGAGTCATGTTTTTGGGTGTGCAAACAAAATATACATTTTTGTAAGAATTAAAAATGTTGACTAGACATAATTGTGCTATCTTACCTACAACCGCCCTCTGCTCTCTCACCAGTTGGGCGCAGTACTGCAGAAGCCACGGTGCGTGTGTGTGTATGTGCGCGTGTGTGCGCATGTGCAAGCGAGAGAGAAAGAGAAAGAGTGTGTGACAGACACCGAGGGCGAGCAAAGCGATGTGGGGTTCACAGAAGGGCGCCCGGGAAATATCCACCTTCCCCTCCAACTGCCATTGAGTTCCACCAAACCTTGAATGCAAGGCATTAAGCCCACATGTGTCTAAGCAAGCTGGGGTAGCTAAGGAATTTTCAGAGATATCTAGTTCTATCAACTTCGATTACAACTCAAGGCTCGTGAAACATACCCCTAAAATTCCGGAATTTGTAGTTTTTCTTTTTCTCTTTTATCTGAGGCTGAAGCGGTTTTACTCTTAAGTGAGAATTGATCGCCGATAATTTCGCCTAGCCAGATTTGCTGTTGGAAGTTCGGTATAAAAAATGAAAGCCGTTTACAATTCCCTGTAACGCCGGTTAGAGCGCAGCTCTTGAGGAGGAAGATGGAAGCATACTGAGGGATAGGCGACTCCTTGAGGTCACGTGACCCCCCTCAGGTCACGTTCCCCCCTCAGATCACATTACCCCTTGAAGCCTCAGGGGGTCACGTGGCCTCAGGGGGTCACGTGATCTGAGGCGGGTCACGTGACCTGAGGGGGGACACGTGACCTGAGGGGGGTCACATGACCTCAGGGGTCACGTAGCCTGAGGGTCATGTGACCTCGGGGGGTCACGTGACCTCGGGGGTCCGACCTCGGGGGTCCGGGGTCACGTGACCTCGCGGTTACGCCGACGGCGACGCCAACACCGACGCCGCTCAAGCCGGAAACGGGCCCCCAAGAGCTGCGCTCTAAAACAAAATGTACACCAAGATGAGCACCCATCCTTATAATATTTGAAAAAATAATGAAAACTTTTGTAGCTCTTTCTTTCATGCAAGTCCTGCAAGTTTCTTCAAATTACACATTTGTTTGTGATGTACCACCCCACCCCTTTCCCACTTTTGGTCTTTTTCATCCCACGATAATAACTGCAGAATGGAAGATTATTGCGCAAAAACACTGATCATGGCCAAATACAATGGATAGACGAATATTTCTATGGCAAAATTATATTGTGTCCCGAGAAATATAAAAAATAAAGCAGAAATGTGAAATCACGCTGCTTTCAACTCTACATGCAAACAACATAGGAAGTCACTGTTGAACATAATACATATCAGATGTATACTAGAAGTCCAAAGCAACTGACAACACCTGTGAGCAAAGACTAAGTGCAATGTATATTCCACTTAGGAAGGCTCAGAAGCACCAACAAATAAGGCCTAAAAATATTAAGATAAAAATGAAACACTCACCATCTTTCTCTGCAAGTCCCCGCGGAAGAACAGGAGAGCTGCTGCAACAATTTATTGCGACACAATGATTTAGTATGACAATGATTCAGTGTGACAATGGTTTTATGTGACACAATATTGTACTATGATACAATGATTTAATATGACAATAGTTTCATGTGACATTATTTTAAATTGACAACGATTAAATGCAACACAATGATTCCACCCTTTAGGTGCTGGGGCATGCTTTGTGCAGAATATTTATTTATATCAAAGACAATGAAAGAAAGGAAAAACTCTAACCAAAAAATTGATATGGAGCCCGACGTTTCAAGGCCAGTTCGGCCCCTTGATCACGGGTGACTGTTTTTGTCCTTGTCGTCGTCTTGCAAAGTGCCCGGTGTTTTTGGATTCTTTAAAATGGCTGTTGTATCTGCACGCGCTTTTTGGTTCGTAGCGCCTCGCGTGACGCACCGCAAACCGGACACGTAGGCGCTTGGCAGTGTCCCGGCTGACCGGTTGACGTTATTTTTGGTATTCTGGATGTACCAGGACTCTAATAAAAGGCGTCTTCGCCAGTTTCTTTCTGTGCCAAGAATAGAGCAGTTGTTGAATTCAATCGTGTGTCCCTCTTTTTGGACGTGTTCTGCCAGTGCACTGCCCTGCACGTTACTCTTTTTAACGTCATATTGATGCTGGCGTAGACGTTCCAGGAAGTTTTTAGTTTCCCCAACGTAGGAGGCGGCGCAGTCACCACACGGGATCCTTTAGATGAGTCCCTGAGCTTTTTCTTTAGGGGGACGATCCTTTGGAAGCGAGAAGAGGCGTCCAAAAAGAGGTGTCTGCCAGTGCACTGCAGGGCAGTGCACTGGCAGAACACGTCCAAAAAGAGGGACACACGATTGAATTCAACAACTGCTCTATTCTTGGCACAGAAAGAAACTGGCGAAGATGCCTTTTATTAGAGTCCTGGTACATCCAGAATACCAAAAATAACGCCAACCGGTCAGCCGGGACACTGCCAAGTGCCTACGTGTCCGGTTTGCGGTGCGTCACGCGAGGCGCTACGAACCAAAAAGCGCGTGCAGATACAACAGCCGTTTTAAAGAATCCAAAAACACCGGGCAATTTGCAAGACGACGACAAGGACAAAAACAGTCACCCGTGATCAAGGGGCCGAACTGGCCTTGAAACGTCGGGCTCCATATCAATTTTTTGGTTAGAGTTTTTCCTTTCTTTCATTGTCATTCCTAACCAGGTGGATGTCCACCGAAACGTTTACGTTTATATCAAAGACACACTGTCTTATGGGCAGAAAGTTAATTTATGTCTGCATGCCTCCAACCTACTATATATTTCTCGTATTTTAGTACTTCTCGAGACTTGGCAGTGGCACCTCGACCTTGTGCCCTGAGGCCCCTCTTTTGAGCGGCCTTACTCGCCATTTGTTTATTTGGAACTGCAACTTTCTTGTATTCAAAGTGTTCACGAGTCATTTCTACCTCTCGGTGCTTGCCATGAAGCACGGTGTTGAACGACATTGTAACAAGGAAGGAGCGTACCGAAACAAAACAAAACAAAAAAGTGCCATCACACAGTAACACGAAACACTGCATCGCATGCACAAATATACAGTGGTGGAACTGAGAAGTGGTGATTTGGAGCAGCTCTTATACCAGGGCAAAACGGGTTTTGGAGCAGAGATTCCCACTTTTGGAGCCGACAATTTTTAGCTTTTATGTCAGAATATTATATATAATCTTTTTGAAAGATATTCTGTGGAAAAAAAACTGCAGTTGTTGGTGTTGGGAGACTATTTAAAGTGCCATGTCTACAGGGGACCGAAGGCGTCTTTGGGCTATGTTTGATGTAAAAATATGTTTTTAAATACTTTGTAGGGTTTGTATCATGCTGCTCACTTGTATTCCATCTGCTACTGTTCAAAGAGCACCTAAGTGGTGCACATAGCTGCTCTAACTGATCACAACGAATAGCGCTAGATATTAATTGGAATCGATGTAAGCACTATTTGCACAAAAACCTATAACTTTTCGTTAGGCATGTGCAAATAATAGATTCTAAGTTTGAAGCAAATTCAAAGTGAATAGTGGTTTTGGCTGAATATTTTTTAATAGAATATTGAATAGTTACTGCGCCTTTCTTCGTGCCTTTCACTACTGTTGCACCATGCTTAAACAAAAATCCGGCTGAACTCGCTAAGGTTGTTCTCAAGTTCCTAAATGCCCAATTATGAGCTCTGTTAAATTTAATCTAGAACAGTGGCCTCGAAAGTCCAATACCTACATTGGGATAGCATGTAAATGACAGATTTTAGATAAAATTAAACCTATTAAAGGGCAACTCCGCTCAATTCCGAAGATTTTGGGATAATGATTGATTTTAAATTAAAAAGCCCTAGTAAAACACACTACGTCGTTTGCTTCGCAAAAAATGGGATATATATTTTTAAATCTGATTTTAAACACGAGCGGAAATCGAAACCGAAACTTCGGCTCTGCCTGGCAACATTGGCCTCGGGTCGCCAAGTGCATGGCCATCACGTGGTACGAGATGTTACGTGATCTTCAGCCCAACGACGGGCGGGATGGGGGCGGGCGTGTGGCAGGCGCGAGTGTCGTCTGCACCGCACTCTTCGCCACGTTTTGGTGTCTACGGCATTCGACGACGTCTGCACAACTGCGGTAAAAGTCTGCGCACGTGGTGTCTGTAGTGTAGACGAAACTCCGAGAGACAATAATCACAATCGGTGAGACGACGACGGCGGTTGCGACGCGGAAGGCGGCGGTAACGGCAGGACCACGGCGGGCGGCCGGACGGCCCTCAAGAAACGCGCTGCGCAGGTGCGTTACACCAATCACGTGGACACCACTGAGCGCCGAGAGGCAACGTTGCTGACGTCATGCGCTAAGCTCGCCGGGAGAAGTGAAAACAAGCAAAAGGGGGCCATGTAGATGGCGTTTAGCTCAATGTTGGCTCCGCCCATGCCGTAGCCTTGACTGCACTGTTGGTTGCACCTGAATTCACCCGCTCAAGTCAGCCGATTTCGCCAACTTGGCGAGTTGCAAAGTTTGCCGGACCGTTTAAGAAACATTTATACAGAAATGCGTCGTAACATTTCATGTGTGGTCTTCCTAAGCGATACTGAAGAGGACTGCATTGTTTTCTCAAAACCAAAAATGAAGCGGAGTTGCCTTTTAAGGAGCCCAGCGATACCTAATTGAGGGGATTTAGAAAAATATTCGCTACATGCAAGTATTTTCCTCAATTAAAAAAAGATTGCTGTTTAACATATATCGTTGCATAATAGCCGCAGTTAAATTTGGAAGATTCTACTGCAATGTAAGTATAAACAATCACAATGTTCTTGATTTCTTTTTTTAATACACCAGGCATGCGGGCACATCAGGTCACTCTGAAGGTGTTTTTTATGCCTAAATCCACGGCTCCGGAAGTGAGTCGCAAGACCGCGTTGTCAGCTCCGCAGGTATTGTTTCTCCGCAGTGCACCGGTGCTTGAGGAGAGGCACACTCAAGGGGGCTAACCCGCCGCGACCAACACTTCAAAAAGCAAGAATATTGCGGTTCATTTTGAAGAGAATATCAAATAGCATATTATTTCAAATTACTATTTCAAAATTTTAATATTCAAACTTCACACATAGTATGTAGGCATAAAAAAACAAAAAACATGCTTTCTTAATTTTCAGTGGCATTGTGGCAGACATATTCAGTTTCCTTTTCGAGAAGAGCTCCCTTCTGGCACAGACAAGGGGCAAATTGTGCACAAATACAGCCTTTGGAGCAGCATGTACCAGGCTGTTCGTTCTGGCACAGTTTGGTGCAAATGTCGCAGCAGTTCCACCCACTGCACATACCGCTACATGCAAAACCAAAATGACAACTCAGCTGAGGGACAGGGAGTGAACTGAAACCACATGGGAACGCAGCCGAGCATATGCGGGCACGGCACTTGGAGCCCTTTCACTGTTCAGACGAGCCTATACTCCATGTCACAAGTCGCATGCAGTGCAGGCGAAGGCAAGACCAGGTGAAGAAAGAAAGGGCAAGCACTAGAAAGGCAGGACAGGAGAGGAGGGCAATGGAGGGCGAGGGGAGAAAAGGAAGGCACTAGGAACGTTAGGGGAGGTTTCTCAGAATTTCCCAAAAACTAAAGACGGTTAAAGGGTTTGGTGTTTGCAGACCAACTGGTATGGGCCTTCGGCCTTTCTGCTGTACTCCCGACTCTCCTGAGCCAAATAAATGAAATGAAATGAAAGGGTTGATGTAACGCACCGATTTAATGTGACACAAGACAGTCCCCAAAGATTGGAATTCTCTTGTCGCAAGATTAAACTACACCCGAACTGGCAGCAGCTGCAAGTGGCACTTCTCGGGGGGCAATCACGGCGCATAGTGAACCTCGCAAGTCAAATTACCATACTAAAATTTGCTCCGTCCGAAAAAGCAACAGTTTTTGCGACAAAGCTCAAGAATTCCAATTGAAACATGAGCCCAGGGAGAGCGACAGATCAAAAGTATCGCATCCCACGTTTCAATTCTCACCAACCTAGGCCTCGAAGTTTTAGCTGTCCCTCGACACGTACAAGCATTCATGCAGCCAGGAAGGCAAACACACGCGATCCATTTCGCAATGTAATGGAGAGAGGCTGTCGGATCAGTGCGAGGGTAACTTTCAGTCTGCTCTGGCCCCATCAAAAAAGTCCGGATCCTGGGATCAACTGTGCTCGGGACTGTACCTTCCGTGGCCTTGTGAGTCATGGTTGCCTGCAACACCCTCCCCCTCGGGCGTGTCCAGGACCAGGGTATCTGCAACGAGAGAGACACAATAATCATAATTGTGACGATGGTCGGTGGTAGTACGGAACGATTTTCTGACTGCTGTGTTTAGCGACCGCCCATGCATTGCAAGCGATTCCGGCAACAAAGGACGTCGTACAAGTTGGAGTGTCATGCTGTTGGATGTTGGTTCCAGAAGTCCCGGAAAGACATAAGAGCAAACGCTACGGTCCATTGCCATTCAAGAAGGTAGGGCAAGGAAAAGGAAGGCCGGGGGGAAGGAAGCAGACGAAATGATGGAGAGAGGAGGGGGCTTTCCCCTTTCCTGTCCAGTCTTCCATCTGCTTCCTCCTCCCTGGCCTTTTTATCCCCTGCCCTACCTTCTTGAGTTGCAATGGACTATAATGTCGCTGTCGTTGTGGGCCGTCGAACCGGAGAACGACCTGCCGCAGAACGGGCATCTGCCACATCCGGCACCACAGCTGCGACACCGCCAGGACCGCAGCCGGCAACAGTACGACACTTCTACGACGTCTTCGGGCAAAAGTCATGGGACCGCTTTTTAAAATATGGTAAATGCACCACTCCTTCCAGGCACCATAGTAGTGGCGGCAGTGGTGACGATCATCGCGATAATGATGATGGTGATGCACGAGAGCACGAAAGGACCTTTCTTCATTTGACCACTTTCCACAACAAGAGGTAAACATTGAAGGCATTCAGGACAGACCTTCTGGGTGCCAACGTTCTTCCTGCTCTAGCTGCCCTCATCTCAACGTGCGCAGTATCAGCATAGACTGCGAGGGCTGCGCTTCTGCTCGGGAATGTCATCCACAAAAGTTCACTGCTCATGGTGATAATATACCATACACGACAGTGAAACAGGGTTCAACTAAGTTCCGAGGTAGGGCAGGTCTACCGTAAAATCCTTTGAAAGAGCACCAACACCCCCTCGAAAATGTTCTTAATTTTTTTGCCAGGCAATTTCATATTGTGTCAGGAGGCTACCTAAACAATATTTTGCTACATAGAGTGCCATATATTTTTTATAAAGCCAAAAGCTCAACTGCTCGAAACCGAAGCACGAGCATGGAAGTTCATGGCCTCAAATCACGTGGCTATGGCTGACCGCATTTTTTCTTTCCTCCCCTTCTCCGGCGTGTGAAGCAGACAGGCGACGAAGTTGCGTGCACCATTTGTCGTGCAATTGCTCCGCACTTATATCCCTTCCACTCAATGTTCTGTGCTTGAAGATCGAATGGCCAATTGGTCCCTTGTGGGCCACCATCGCTTTGTTTAGCCCGCGGTACGTCACCATATTGACAACGACGTGTACATGTACTTCCTGTGATCTGTGCAACATTTTTTTCTTTTCTGGATCAATGTATTTGCAGCTTTTTGGAGGCTACAAAAATGGGGTTTGTATCCTTTTCTATTTTTGATATTGAATGTGTGTCTTGGATGATTTACGACTTTGAATATATTTGGTACCCATAGTATGAACGCCACGTGACCATAAAAAAGAGAATGAGCCCGACAAAAACCGGCCAATTCTCTACAGGCAGTTTTCGGGCAGAAAGAAAACTAATTTCGAGCCGCAAATTGTGTTCCGAGTAGTTGGGCTCTTGTAGGCCACGTTCAAATAAAAACCTCAGCAAGCATAAATAACCAGTCAGTGTCCCTTTAAGAACACCTGCCCAGCATGAAGAGATAAATAGTGAAAACTATGAGAAGGGCAATTTTTAGGAATGTGACAGCAAACTTCTATAAAAAAAAACTAGTGACAAGCACTGCAGAACCTGTTACAAATTAAGTGAAATGGGAACTTATACCGTAGGTCGCGGACAGGGCAGATTCGCGTTCTACGGTACGATAGACACGTGAGAATTTGTTAGGAGCTCCCGTGTGCGGTAACGGATACCGCAAATAGTGAATGAAGCAGATTCACCCTTTTACAGTGCAATAAACACACAGGAAACTGCTACAAACTTGTGTATTGTAGGAACCGATTATGTGCGTACAGATCGCGGAAAATAAATGCGTAAACTTGCTACGAACTCGCATGTAGCGGAAACGGATACTACAACCGAACCAGATAATGTCATGTGCTCCAACTTGAGCATTTTATCACCACCGCTAGCATCACATTCTCAGAGTTTCAGCTTTCTGCAATTCATAGTTCATTTACACGTGCCAAAAACTTGGTTTAATTATCTCAATTTTATCCTGTACAATGCGTAACAGGCAGAACAAGGGGAGATCAGTACAAAACAAAGTTGATGAGATTATAGTCGCTGTTTCAAGCAATCCGATGCAAAACGGTGAAGCTCGGCGCACGCGAGCTGCAAGAGGCGGCGCGAAAGTATACGGCATACATAATAATCAAGTGATGTCATCAGGAGCACAAAACGCTGTTTCTGTCTTATCACTGTAGCCACCATCCTACTATTTTATAATGTTTGCTTGCGACTTCTAGCTCCTGACATCACCGAAATCGTCTGGAAATTTAGACGATGTTAGCGATCAGCCCGCCAGCGCGGTTGATGAGCAATCTCAATACTTAGTTTCATATTACTTCAAAACGAAGGAGATGCTACGAGCCAATGGGGCCAACCAAGCAGCATCAAAGTGCGACATAATGGCACTCGTCCAACTTCCTGCATGTGTCCTTTCATCGTCTAAACCAGGGGTTCTCAAACTTTTTGGCCTCACGGAACCCCAGGAAGCCTCAGAAACTGCCGCGGAACACCCCCCCCCCCCCCCCTTCTATATTTGCCGACCAAGAAGCAACAGATGCAAAATTGTAGGCAATTTTGCTTGTGTTGCTTCCCATATATCCCCACCATATCAATCGCAATGTCAGTACAAAGCGAGATGAAGGTGCTTTGCATGGTCCTGCCGCACAGCCTGTGGCATGAGGGGGGGAGGAGGGGGGTTGCAATTTGGGTGTTCGCGGAACCCATGAGACCAGCTCGTGGAGCCCCTGTGTTCCCCGGAACCCAGTTTGAGAACCCCTGGTCTAAACCAAGTGCAACAAATGTTCTGTGACTTGTGCTCTTAGTATATGTGTGTTTGTGGTAGTTTGTGTTCGAGCCTTCGACTGTGCTCTGACCTAAGATGAAACAAATTGTACGATGAGTAGAGACACGCTGGTGAGATACATATTTGTACCTTTTTTTTTTGTTTTGTTTCAGAGCGCCGCTCTCAGGCACCTGTTTCCGGCTTGAGCGGCGGCGGTGGCGGCGGCGTTGGCATACCCACACGTTGCATTATGGGACGTTTCCCATAATGACGTCACACATGACATGTGTGACGTCACAAGTGACGTTACAAGTGACGTCACACGTGACATTTTGTATTGACATCACGTCACACATGCCGTCACGTGTGACACCATTGTTGAGTGGTGATGGGACGTCGAATCGGTGCTTTAGCGAACCTAGACTTTTGCACAGAGAGCGATTACACTAGCTAGCAACGCCGACATGGAAGACGAAGCAAACAAAGAAGCGCGCACGGCACCAAGTTCGGGCTCAAGTTTGCATTTCATCAGTATAGAGCCTAGATTTAAGAGAGGGGGCAGCCGCTTGATCGGGGTCACATGGTTTGTGGGCCGCATTTGCAAAACGAGCTGCAGGCTGCAAGGAGTCAAAAGCGTTCACCGTCTGCAAATGTGTCCACCTCTCCGCCCGGCTTCCTCGCCACGCTGGACACGAAACAACATACGCAGGCGCACTTCCGCCAATCTGCCCAGGAGGCGCCCGCCATTAAATTGAAAATGCTCTCCATGGTTGGTGTTGCTCAGTCTTATAAGTCTCGGCTCTTTTCGTCTTCTCTGTCGATACGTATCAGTATGTTAAAGCTAGTGCTCCGAATGCCCCTTTCGGTATGCCAAGACTTCTCAGTGTGCAATGCGGAAAAGCCGCTTCCCAGATAAGGAGCAGGGAACAAACGACGATGCAGAGGCTGCCACCAGCAGCTTTTGCAGCTCGTTCTGGCTGCACTTTGCTGCTCGGCCGCGGAAGCAAAGTGTGGCGGTCTGCAACTTAATAAAGTTTCCGAATTTGATTATTTTTTAATTACAGTAAACTTTCACTTGAGCGAACAGTGATTTACCAAAAATTTCAGAATAAAAAACTTTAAAAAATCCCCGGCAGTTTTCCTATGCATTTTATGTAAAAATGTTTCAGTTAAACAGGAAATGAATTTCGAAATAGCGAAGATTTCAGTTTAACGAACATGATTGGTGAACCCAGGATTATTTTTGCAATCAGTTCAATGAAGTTTTGTGTTCTGCAGTGCTGGCGTAGCCAACGACCGCCACCCCGCTGCCGCCGCCTCTGGAGCGGCAGCGCATCATCGCTGGCGTTCACAGCGCCGCCGAGGCAAAGTGGTGGTGCGGTAGACAGACAAGCCACGTGGTGTGTCTGTTTTTTCTTTGTCATCGGTTCTTTTTGGCCATCTTAGTTTTGGGTAACAACAGCAGAACGGCAGTTTGTGTACCCGCTTTCATAATGAGTACGACGAAACGGAAGCGGTTGTCTCCAGACAAGCTCAAAATCCTTCAGCGTTTGGACAACGGTCAAAGCCAACTGTAAGTTGCACAAACTATGGGATGCCACCGTCGACATTGTCAACGATAGTGAAGCAAAAGTTGAAGCTTGAAGGAGAAACTGTTCAATCCCAACAGGAAACAACTCTGCACGGGATATTTCGAGCCAGTGGACAATGCCATTGCGATATGGCTTCGTTGCAGCAACAAGCTGTGCCAGAGGAAGTGCAAAAGACATAGACTCTCTGGACAGCTTTGTTACTTCATACGCTTTAAGAACGCCAGTGCAAATGAAAATTAGATTTTTTTTTCAGTATGAGAAAGGCAGCAATGTAACTGTTATGCACTTCGTATATAACAATGTACATGACTCCGTAAATTGCATTTCATGCTTTTGGCTCGATGTATGCTGTGCCCTATGCTGTTCCATATTCTAGTGAATATATTCAGTTTAGCGAACTTTCAGCTAAGTGAGCTATTTTTATGGGTCCCTTGAAGTTTGCTCAAGTGAAAGTTTACTGTATCAGAAAATTTTTCTTCACTATATCCGTGGGAGCCGCTCATTTTCCTTCCTTAAAAACAGACACAAATATGCTGAAAAAGTGCAAACAGGAATGGAAAATCGTGATCACTTTGCTAAAGACACTATTTTGTTATAACCGACTTCATTACACTGCAGTCGTTGCCCCCAGTCATTGAGTGACTTAGGTACCCAGACAAACTTTCTAGAGAGCTACATGAAGCTTTCCAGAGCAAAGGGCGACAAGTGCACAAATAACATGTAACTGTCTGGCAAATGAGTATACTTTTTTTATTACGGTGGTTATGCCGAAATTAGCTCAGACTGTTTCTTCTCCCATGGCTATATATATGATTAGTTTTTTCAAATAAAACTTAGTTGTGAGTGTGCACTTGTTCATCTACTTTCTTGTCCCAGTGTTGTTTTTTTTTGCGCTTACCTATGTAATCATGCACCAACTGGCCCAAATTGCCACTTTAATCTATGATGAGTAGTGTAAGAACAACCAAGAAGCACATTTTACTAGTCAGAATTTATGTGATGGAACAAAAAGAAAAAACTTGCGGGAGGAATTGGGAAGATATATGGGAAGGAAGTACAATGAGCAGAATAGCAAAATATATTGCGCTACACGTTTTTGTTTTTTAGGATGGAAAAAGTGGGAAAGAAGAAAATAAAAGAGAAAGAAGACTGCTCACTCTTTCCTAAGAGAGGGCTCTCAAGAGGGTGAAATAGGAAAGGAGTAAAAAAAAGAATGGGAGCAAAAGTGTGCAAAGTATATGTCGGCCACTTAGTCCTTATTTCAGGTGCATCCACTATGTTGTGAAGTTGAGATTTCATCCATCGTGGCCATGGTAGTTAGTCCCACCGTGGCCATGGCAGTTAGTCGTCATGCACCGAGGGATTCCCCAAGCAGAGACAACCCCCGAAACTGAGCTGCAATACTTTGGTGCAGTACGCTCGTCAACATCCCCAAGCCCCGAGGAACTGAGAGCAACGAGAACTTGCCTTCCCGTAGCCAGGGCGATGCGACGGTTGGTCCCTTGCTTTTCTGCATGGGAACAAAAGCATGTTCATAGCTTAGAAGCCACATAACTGGCGATGTGCACAAACTAGCGACAAGAAAAACTTTGAGGATAAAGTTTTGAGGTCAACACCATTTTAACTGGCATGAGAACTAAGATTGAACATAAAGCAGCTGCACTTCAAAATGAGTGCTCACTCGAGGAAGGGATGTTGCCATCAAAGTCGTAAACAAAATCACAAACCAAGATGAGGCACATCAATGAATTTAGATTGCATCGGTAAAATGCGATAAAAAGCAGCGTTGTTAACGCTCGTGTTAGGTGTGTTGTGCAGCGAAGCATGGAACTCTAATTTTGAAAACTGGAGGGAGAAGTTAGAAAGCACTATTCACGTGGCTGGGCTTTCTCTGTCTTCTTCGCATGTGACTCCCTCGTTAATTTTGTCATAATTTCTAATTTACTCGTATATTCTGCATAACTCTGGGTAAATACGTACCGACACAGAAAGTCCTGAATTGCTGCAACCTGCAAAAAAATGTTGTAGTTAAAAAAATGCCTCTCACTTGCGAGGGTTGTTCATCGCAAAATTAAGTCTCGAGGCTGGTCAACACATTGGCATTTAAGTGCGATGGAATGTGCTAGGACGCCTCGCGACTGCTTAGGATGAAAGAAGACACTGACGCCATCTACCAGGCAACCCTGGATATGCTTCCGATCTGCCATGGCCTCCCAAGATTTTGGGTGCACAAAGCACTCCTCCAGCCGTTACATTCGCCGGGAGACTGACATAAAAAGAAAATAGCTTGCAGTTACTTTTAACGCGCAATGGTGCTAGGGAAGGAGCGGCTAACCGTAATCATTACCCTCATCATTTGGCTTGCTTGGTAGCTCGGGCTTGAAGGCAGGGGTGTAAAGACAGGAGCAGAACGCGGAAAATCCTGAGCACTAACACCGGCGGTCCCGAGGGAAGGAACGAAAAAGAAAGAAGAGCGGAGAAAGAAAGTGGACGAAAGGTTAGGCGTGTTCGCTTTGCCACGAGTTGAAGTTGCTTGAGTGCTAGCCAACTTTATTTAGTTACAGCGTTTTTCTGCAGAGTAAGCTAGAAGAGAACTAGGTGCAGCCCCTCACAGGTGATGTTTTGCTGCGTCTTCGTGCATTGTGAGGCATCGCCGGCAATGTGGGCCCATTAGGACCACCAACTGGGATTACCGGTGTCCACGTTCATACCCCCCGCTCTGAAGCGATCCGAATGCATGGGACCTTTCCCTCGAGGTTGGGGTTCTCTAAAACGTTGTGGCTAACGGGCCAAATTGGGGACCTGTTGCAGTCTCGAAGGCCGGAAATTCGATATGACGACGTAAATAAGAAAATACTAAATAAACAAGTCTAAATGATCATTTTTACACAAACATTTAAACTAGAGCAAAAATTTTGCAAAGTGTACATATTTATTCATTAAAGAATACATATCCATACTTTGTTCCTAAATGCTATAGTTTGCTAATGATGACATTACAAAATAATTGTGACCCAGAGAACTCACCAGGCATAAATTATGCACTTTGGCACAGGACAGAAGATGATTAATGAGAATAATAGGTCTGATGATGACAATATGCAAGAGTATTGACACAGATCACAGTTACACACACATAAAACAGAGAACTATAGATTGTAATACTGGTGATGACAATGTATGAGAAATAATACTGTGAGAAAACCCACGTTTTAATGCAGATTTTCTCTCATTCTTTCTGATATCTTCTCTTGCACTTTTAAAACGCATAGTAGACCTTTTTTTTTTTTTTTTTTAATGCCCTTATATTTTCTTTTTTTTAACTTTGTAGCAGCTGGCCGAGGGTTGGACATCACTAGATAGAGCGCGGCCTTGCGACTTCGCCTGTTTCATAAAGTGTATCATCAGTCATTCCGAGACCCCTTCTTTACATTGCCTACCTATTACTCTTCCCGTGTGGACCATCAGAATAAAGTTGGATGAACACGTTGCAAAATGCAATGCAGAGCTTTTTTTCTTCATTTATCCCACATACATCAAACGACTGGAACCATTTTCCAGCAGATATCACAACTATACCTGATTATTTTCTTTTTCGCCGATATCTGTTTACATTTCTGTGTGATGAGCCAGCATGGTTCGTAGCAGATGTTGATTTCAGCTTTTGCCAATCAGAGTGCACTTTTGATGTTTGTATTTCTCGCAGTATCTTTTTGCCTTGTCTTTTTTACAGCGGAGCTGTTAAGGGCTAGGTTCCCGAGGATTGTGTCCGATACAAAACACTTGTCGACAAAAACGCCTCTGGACAGCTACCGCCATCTATAAGCGACGGCGGCAAGCACACAACTAGTATGGTTGCCGGCGTCGCTCGTAGATGGCGCCAACGTTTCCAGCTATCATAGAAGAATGAATAGTTGGGCGGCGCATTGGTGGGAATTTATCGTAGGAAACAGCGCGAAAAACAGACGACAAAGAAGAAGCACACGTAACGGGTGCAGCGCTAGTCATGTGTGTTTCTTCGTCCTCGTCTGTTTTGCGTGCTGTTTCCTACGCTCTTATCAGTTTTGGTTTAGACTTGGGATGGGCCGGCCGCGCACCCTTTCGGGGAAAGAAGACTGGCTGCAGAAGGAGCGGCAACGTACGGAGCAGCGCGAATGGGTCCGTAACCACCGCAAAGTCGCTGTTGCCTCGACTTCCACTGCGTCGAGCGCTTCAGATTCCCTTGCCAAAGAAGAGCCCATCGCTCGCCTGGAAAGACGCCGACAAGAGCAGAACCAGCGATATAAAGGGCACCCGTGGGCCAACGTCACGGACGATTGTGCCACGAAGGCCAAGCGCAAGCACGAGGCCCGGCGACGACTGCACTCCACGCCGGCTGAACAGTTCCCGGGCGCGACGGCGATGTTCTGGAGGGAGTTTGTGGATTATCCGTTTGGCGTCACGTGCGCCGTGTGCGACCGACTCTGGGTCGCCGGAGACGTAACCACGATCGGCGGCGTGTCGGACAAGATGAAGCGGGAAACGGGCGCGTGCGCGTTGCGGAAGTGTATTGGGCACAGCTTCATTGGTCTTGCTTCTTCACGAAAGTGGAAAAGCTGAACATTTTGTTTAATTTTAATTTTTGTTCACTCTACATTTTTTAAACTACAATGCTTTGGTGCTTGAGGGTATGTACAATAAATACAGTAAATAAATAAATAAATCTGCAGGCGGAAAGGAGCGCCTCCGCGGGTTGGGGTTTGGAGACCCCCGTTATAGGTTATTAATGCGAAAGCATTAACTGTCCCATGGAGCGGAACCGGTGTTGTTCACAACTGCGAAAAGTGGCAGAAAAATTCCTTAACGCTTCTTAAAATGGCTGTGACGTGGCCAGCGCGCCAGACAATTCCAAGGAACGCCACTCCACAAAGCGGAGCTGCTCCCGCGCGCCGCCACAGCAGCGCACATTCGCCGCTCCCCAGAACCCGGCCGGCCGGCATCAGCAGAGGCTGCCCGGCTGGCCTCTGCAGAGGAGAGCCGGGCGCACAGCTGGTAGGAATATGCTACGTATACAAATGCTTTTGCATTCTTAGACGTATGTGGTCTCAAGTGTCCTCCTGTAATTTTATATTAACTCTTATCATGCAGGGAGCACCGTGTGCTAGCCTGATAGCAAAGATGTGTTAGCTTGTGAGAAGTGTACTCATTGCTTCTCACTACAACATGCATTACTTTTTCAAGGAAGAGGTAGGTTAAAATCTGAGGGTTTATATTTTAAAACTGGGAAAGGTGTAGACCAAATGTACACCTCACCGTTTTAAGAAAAACTGCACATTGAATCATTTTGCTAAAAAACGGAGGCAATTCAATTACCAGTCTTAGTGAAATTTCTGTCCCAAAAATACTTATTTTTCTTTTCCGACACTGAGCAGATGAAACGTCACACTCATGAGCCCTGTGCAGATTGGGTAACTGGGCAGGATGTAAGAGAGTTTCCTTGGCCTCATCGTTCGCTCAGAAGTTCAAATTACATAGTCTTTTTTTTTTTGCAATATTTTTGTTCAATTTATCTTACTGCGTCGGTTCTGTCATCTGCTGCTTTTCTCGCGAATGTTCCTCAAACACTGTCTCGCCATAGCTTTGCTTCTGGCAGGACTTTGCCGGCTTTGGCACTTTTGCCACAGTGGAATTTTCAGCGACAAGCTCTCCCGCTGTATACTGATGATAAGGGCTGGCTAGCTAGAAACTGTGTCTTGGAGAAAACTCGGCAAAAGAAAGCACTGCCAGAGCCTATGCACGAACTGAGTGGCATTTGAATTTCACCTTGATGCGCTCTCAAGCGATTGACTCGACAGCCAACAGAGCGTGCTAGGAGCTGTCCGAACCCATGTCATGGGAATGCTCTAGGCCTCCGTCAAGGATATGAGCAGTCGGAGGGAGAAAGCTTTCCCTTCGGCAAAAATAAACAGACGGAAGCGGATCGCCACACTTTATATGGCAGAGAAGTGTCGCCTCAGCTAATATGAAAATAACTTTTAGTTCTAGATGACTAGTTACAATCCAAATCAAATTATATGTTGACTCTTATGACCTCCATCATCCAGTTATCCTAGAACCCGCTGTTGCAAATACACTGCAGATTCAAAAGGGTGCCATAGATTGACCTAAAAGTGTGTCAGATGACCTAAGACTGCACAACACTCCATTCATTCTTAAGCTGAAACTGCAGCAAATCCAGAAACCCAAGAGCACAAGGCCACGGCTTTGAAGCATTCTTCCACAGAATGAGAGGTCACACTAGAAAGGCGAGTCTCAAACCTAGGGACGCACGCTAGCTCAAGCTTGTAGCTTTGGCTGCTGTCTCAGCTTAAAGGCCGACTTACAGAATCCTCTCCTGCCGGGCAGAAAACTGGTTCCCAGTTTCCTTCTCTTCATTCCTTCTCACACATCTCTCTCCCCCAAAGAATGGGTCTCTGAGCTACTCTCTGCAGAAAGAAGGGGGTTTCCCTTTTTGCTCAAATGGAAAGGAGGGATTCAAGGAGAGTTTCCTCTTTTCTGGCTGTTTGTTGTTTTTAAAGGGGCACTCAAGTGCTCTTAGTACAAGCTTGTTCGTCCTCTTCCTCGTGCCACTTTAGGTCAGCGTTTATCTTCTTAAAGAAACTTGCGTTTCGAGTTATGTCTCTTTCTCGTCGTCTTGCCGTGATCTTCGATCCTTGAACCTTTGTCACCACGTAAGGGTCATTGTCGAAGTATGGCGTTAGCTTGTGCTGCTTCTTTTGTTTGCACAATACTATATCCCCTTGTTTCAATGAGCGTTGTCGAGTGTGTCGTTGCTCGTCAGTGTATTGCTTAGACTTCCTTTTTGCGGCTTGGTCATCTTGTTGCACATTGAAGTCCTCGTTCACTCCGTTGTCTGGAGGTCGTGGTAGTATTGTCTGCATCTGTCTGCCAAAGAGAAGTTCGTACGGAGATCTCTTAGTTGTGGCATGTGGGGTTGCTCTGTAGCACATCAAGAAGTCATCCATGCCCT